GCTTGGCGTTGTCATGTTGAATTAAGCATGGGTGTCCCTAAAAAGGCATCATCTAGAAGGCTGCAAGTGTTGTTCCAAAATGTGTCTATATCTGTCATTGTTTAGCGTGCCTTCACAGATGTGCAAGTTACCCATGCCATAGGCACTAATACAAACCCATACCATGACAGACCCTGGCTTTTGAACTTTACACTGGCAACAATCAGCAGTGTCCTTTTCTTCTGTTGCCTGTAGATGTCCAATATTTACAGTAATCATAAGGGTTGACTTGTCTGACCATAGTAATGTGGTCCTGGAGGCCCAGTGTTCAGCAAACTTTTAATGATTTTCCTGCTCTTAACACACCAACTAAACCTGGAAGTTAACTGTTGAGTGAGCTAGTCAGGTGGGTTGAGCAGGAACAGGAGTCTACCACGCCTGATTTAGATATATTTTACACTATTAAAGTGATGGTTTTGCCTAAATAATGATTTGATAGTTTTCTCTTACAAACGGTTATTAAAATCACATATTAAGTTACTTTGGCTCTGCCAACTCTGCTTTACTATAGCTACTCCTTACTTCATTATTCCTGCACATTGTGGCTTCTGTATGTGGTGTGGTTTGTGTGCACTGTGGCAGAAATATCACAGCCATTCTTTGATCCACTGCATGCTAAAGATTTATGCTAAGGTGACACTGCTAAGGAGTTATGCTTAAAATTATACAATTCCCAATCAACCTGAGTGCATGCAATGAAATTAAAGATCTCACAATTTTAAAGGGGTTCCAAATGCACTCCCCACAGATCTCATCTCTTCAGCTGAAAATAAACGTTTTAAAACAGAAAGTCAATATAATTCCTTTTTTTCTTGTGGTTCTGATGTATTATGTGAAAATAGCATCTTACTTTCTCAAAATAATTATATTGTACTATGGTATTTTTCTCAAATACTTTTTATTAAAATAATCACATACTTTATTGATGAGTAATAACATTTTTGTTACTGTTTAATTTTTTTTTTCCAAATCTTTTTATTAGCTTTTGTAGAATCACAAACATATTACATTGTTCAAGTGAAACAACAAAAAGTGTGCTTCTGCATCAACCCCTTACCCTTGGACCTTAATCCACCCACCCCCCTATTAAGCTGCTCCAGGGAATCCGACAGAGATAAACAGAATATCAACCAGAACAAGAGTGGTCTAAATCAATATGTAAATAATAATACATGTAAATGATAAATTACAATATGTACAAAACTATAAATAAAATTAGAGGGGTAGATAAATAAAAAAAAAAACCCCTCAATTCACATATTTAGGCATCGCTATCCTCAAGTGAAACAGAGTTGTTGATAAAATCAAGCATAGGATCCCAGGTCCTGTGAAAGGATCTCAAGGAACCCTTCAGGGAAAATTAGCTTTTTGAGCTTAATGAATAATAGGACATCCTGGATCCACCTATCATGCAATGGTGGAGAGACCTGTTTCCATTTAAGAAGAGTGGCACGTCTGGCCAGCAAGGTTGCGAAGGCAATAACACATTGTGAGGTTGCCGGCAGGCACAGATCGGGAGTGATGCCAAATAGGGCTGTTAAGGGATTAGGGCCTAAATTGCAGTTGAGGACTTGATTGAGAGTGTCAAATATATTAGACCAAAAGCTAGTAAGTTGGGGGGCACGTCCAGAACATATGTACATGGTCAGCCGGAGACTGTTTACATCTCTCACAAGCATCACTTCGATCTGGAAATATCTTTGCCAGCCTAGCATTAGTAAAGTGGGCTTTGTGAAGCACCTTACACTGCAGTAGGCCATGTCTGGCACATATGGATGAGGAATGTACCCGGTCCAGGATGCGAGCCCAGTGGTCGTCTGAAATAGTAGTTCCCAAATTCTCCTCCCAGGATTTTTTAAGAGTTTCAGTAGGTGCTACCTGTACAGTTTTAATTTAATTATAAATAACAGATATGAGTCGCTTCTGGGAGCGATCAAGAGTAAGAAATTGGTCGATATAGGTTTCAGGGGGGCGGTTGGGGAAGTGGGGGAAGTGGGGGAATAGCTTTTGAACAAAATGTCGGGCCTGAAAAAAATCGAAAGAGGTGACTGTTGGGTAAGTTGAATTTAGTTGATAAGTCTGAAAAGGATGAAAAGACACCATCCTTATAGAACTCGAAGACTGTAGTAAGCCCGTTACTTGACCAGAAGCGGAAAGCCAGGTCAGAGCAGGATGGAGGAAACAAGTGGTTTTTTAGGATGGGCATATGGATTGGGGCCCTATGAAAACCGAAATGTTTCATAAATTGGAGCCAAATTTTAATAGTACTGTTAACAACTGGATTAGTAGAAGCTTTGCTAGCAGATATGGGGAGCTGGGAGCAGAGTATAGCAAATAGAGAGCTACGGGAGGACGAGATCTCAATATGAGCCCAAGGTGGAAGACCATTTGGTGCTCTCCAATAGGCCCAGTAAAGTTATTTGTGAATGTTACAAGCCCAATAGTAGTGACGAAAGTTAGGGAGCGCCAAGCCTCCTTCAGACTTTGAGAGCTGAAGAACTGACCTCTTGAGACGTGCGGGTTTGTTGTCCCATAGAAATATATTCAGCAGGTGATCAAGGTTAACAAAAAAAGATTTACTAATGACCACTGGGATATGTTGAAAAGTATGTAAGAACCTAGGGAGTGTGATCATTTTAATCAAGCTGACACGGCCCGTAAGGGACAATGGAAGGGAGGCCCACCTGGTTATGTCTGATTTAAATTTGTCCAGCAGAGGCTGAAAATTTTTGGAGAAAAGGTCATTAAATGAGTTGGTAAAGAATACTCCCAAATACTTAAATCCCCCTGACGATGTATTAAAAGGAAAGATCGAATGTGGAAGGGACTTTGCTAAAGAGTTAACAAAAAATAGCTCACTTTTTTGCAAATTCAGTTTAGAACCAGAGTGTTGGCTAAACCGGTCCAAAATTTCCAATATTGGTGGAAGGGATGAGGTGGGGTTAGAAATGTAAAGAAGAAGATCATCTGCGTAGAGGGAAGAAAGTTTATGGACTACATTGTAACGTGTAATGCCCTCAAATCGTTCCTGGCTATGAAGCCAAATTGTACAAAGGAAAAGGTGGTGACTGCATACTGTTAGTATCGATGGAAGCAGTTGGGGCGGTGTATAAGAGACGGATCCAGCGAATAAAGTTAAGTCAAATCCAAATTTGTCTAAAATGAAGAACAGATAACCCCATTCCACCCTATCGAAGGCTTTTTCGGCGTCAAGGGACACTACAATTTCAGGACAGTTAGAAGAAGGGGAATAAAGAATATTAATCTCCTGGTGTTAAAGATCCTGGTGTTAAAGAATGAATGTCTGCCCTGTATAAAACCTGTTTGGTTGGGAGCAATAAGGTCTGGCATAATCTACTGAAGACGAGATAGAACTTTGGCCAGAATTTTTAAATCTACGTTTCAGAGCGATATTGGTCTATAACTACTGCAAAGGGTAGGGTCTTTATCCTTTTTAAGTAACAAAGAAATAGTCGCTGCAGATAAGGTTAGTGGAAGTCCGCCTTTATCAAATGAGTCATTGTATAACCTTGTCAAAATTGGGAGAAGCTGTGTAGAAAAAGCTTTGTAGAATTCCACTGTGAAGCCATCAGGCCCAGGGGATTTTCCATTTTGGAGTGACCCTATTGATAACATATATGAATTGAATCTCCATTGTTTGACAAAGGTTGGGGCAGAAGGAAAATTAATATCAACTGTTGTAGGGGCATGGTCTGAAATGATAATGGTGTGATAATCACATGAGTTAACATGATGGAGTAGTCTGTTATCTAGCAGAAAAAAAAAAATCGATCCTTGAGAAAGAGTGGTGTACATGAGAGAAAAAAGAGAAAGCTTTGTCCAGTGGATTTTTAAATCTCCAAGGATCTGACAGACCTAATCGAGATTGATGATTTAACACAGCACTGGCCGATTTAGACAGGTTGGCCTGCTTAAGTGACGACCTGTCAAGACTCGCATCCTGGACGAGGTTAAAGTCACCACCTATGATTATGAAATGACTATCCACATTTGGAAGATTAGAGAAAAACGTATTAAAAAATTCCTCGTCATCCCAAGTGGGGGCGTACAGACAGGCCAGGATCACTGGCACGTTATAAAGTAAGCCTGAAACTATGAAGTAGCGCCCGTTAGAGTCTAGAATGGAATTTGTTGGTTCAAACATGATGTTTTTATGAATGGCGATAGCAACCCCCCTTGCCCTGACAGAAAATTTCGAATGAAATAAATGTCTCATCCAAGTCCTCTTAATATGAGAGATTTGCGTGGTTCGAAGGTGTGTTTCTTGCAAAAATATGATATCACCTCGAAGATGTTGTAACTGTGTTAGTACCTTACTGACTTTGATGGGGTTATTCATCCCTTTAGTATTCCAGGAAATTAAACGCACTCCCCTACCACCGCAAGTCATGTCACTGGTGGCCATTCAAAAGATATTGTTGATTGGGCTGCCTAAGTAAAGGTAGGTAAGAATAAAAAAAAGGGGAGGAAGAAAATCAGGAAAAAAGGGGCAAAAAAAAAAAAAAAAAAACAAAAAAAAACACCCCACCCACGACACCAATACCACTCCGTAATCCCCAGGGCTGCGCTTCCAACCATCCCTATACGCAATCCCATCTGAGTATTCCAACTCCAATCTTAACAGCTATTAGCCTAACTTCCGGAGACTCGGTTCCCGTCATACATAAAGAAGAACCCCACCCATGGACACCAGGACAAAACCACAAAATAATTAAAACAACCTCAAGCATGTGAGGGATTAAAGGAGGAAGCATAAGATCTAACATTACTGCGTAACAGTATATACAGTATATCTGTGTTCCACTCTGATCGAAAACCCCCTATAAAAAAAAACTCCAATTAATACATCCTAAAAGCCTCGGAAGTTGTCCCAATTCCCGATACGATCATCCTGGAGTAATCCGAGTCTTGCAGTGGGAGAAGAGAAAAAAAGGGAACACAGATAAAAATAAAATAAAAGAACAAGCTTTGACGATTAACAATGAAACAGTCAGTCATAGTACTCAAGCAGTTCTCTCATCCCCAAAACCACAAGCCCCCACACAGAGGTGCAAACCAAACAGTCGCCTTGGGAAAAAACACCTGAACAGAGAAGTCCAGAGCCGTCAAGCGCTGACGCCAACACATAGTTCAGGGCCGTGATGCAGTCAACTTTCGAAAGTGAATCCTTCGTACTGGCGTTGTGGGGCAACAACGCTAACGTGTGGGCCAAAAAGGTGGAACAGTCACAATTGCCACTTATACCAAGAGTCTTTCCGATCCAAAAAAGAAAATGCAGTAACAGAGAACCAGTGAACGATCGACAACCGTCAAACAGTCATCAGTCCAGACCAATACTACATGCTCAGTGAACTAAGCTAACTGTGTTAGCCAATGCTACCAACTGCGACGGCTAAGCGGCCAAAGCAAACTTTGCTAGCAAAAAGCTAGCTAGTAGCACTTAACCAGCACAAACTTTTATGCTCTCGATAGCGTTACACACCATTAGCACGGATATTCATTAGGTAGCTTTTAGCCTCCTCGACCGAAGCAAGTCTCTTCTTACCCCCGTCCTTAGTCGTGATGATAAGCCTGGCCGGGAATAGCAGCACAGGCCTGAGGCCGAGATTGTAGAGGTCCGCTAAAACCTCTCGATACTTGGCGCGCTGTTCAAGGACCTTGGGGGCATAGTCCTCGTAGATAGCGATGGGGCTGCCACGGTATTGTAGCGTGCCTCTCTTGGCTCTGGCCTTGCGGATGATTCTCTCTTTCTGTGTGTAACGGTGTAGTCGGATAATAACCGCCCTCGGCTTCTCCCCTGGCCCCGGCTTACTGGTCAATGCCCTATGTGCTCGGTCGAGCTCCGGGGGAGAAGGCAGAATCTCCTCACCGAGAATCTCCGCCAGAAGCTCCGAGAAAAAGGCCGTAGGATGAGGACCCTCAATCGATTCTGGTAAGCCGATAATTCTAATGTTATTACGGCGGCTTCGAGATTCAAGGCCTATGACTCTTGCTGAAAGTTCGGCATTAGATTCCTTTAACGTAGCGCAAATTGCTTCAAGAGCTAGCATGCGCTCGTCTATGAGACTGGCGTTGGATTCGAGAGAGATAATCTTCTGGTTATGTTCGAAAACCGTGGTATGAATGCTATCGAGTTTGGTTTCTAGAACTGAAATCGAAGACTTGAATTCCGCAGAGAGGGACTTTTGATGTTCTTCCAGGAAACCAGCCAAGGACGCCATGTTGATGTCGTTACTCGCCTCTTCTTTGGAGTCAGCCTTGACACTGTGTTCCTTCTTGCTTGGTTTCGTTGACTTGGAGGACATATTTAGGTGAAATGCAGCAATAACAACTGTTTTTTTGTCCTATAAATTGAAAAAAGAAGCTGTGTTGTAGGGTTTAAAGGGTAGAAATACTAAAACGATACGGGAGCGAGGCTACCGCACGTCTATTCCATTCCCGCTCCTAACTGGAGGTCTGTTACTGTTAATTTTTTGTTATTAAACTTTATTGTTTTTACTTATTAAGACAAAATCTTGAGTTATTATAATCTGATCATAGCTGATTGCAAATTCATAGCAATTTATCTGAAAAATCTGTGTACTCTACAACAGGGCAGTGTAGTTTGTTGAATGCATAGCCACTATCAACAAAATGACAAAAATATAATATCACAGTACATGAATACATTTTCACGGTACACACTATCACAATATTTAATTTTTCTGAGATTTGCTAAGTTGAAATAGACAAAAAGCACCAGCATTTAAAAAAAGGAAAAATAAGTTTTGAAAGTATGATATTCACATAATGGGTTCATATTCAATCGACTATTTATAATTTACACTGGTGCTGTACACTGGTTGTTGTTTACAAGCTATCTATAACTGGCCTAAATGTGCCAATTATATTTTTGTAATGATACAAGTGTTTTAGAAGCACTGATCATACCCATGACACACTCAGAAAGGCATATTGTACTATAATCTATCACAATGGCGATAACATATATGTACTCGTATTAGTAGTCAAAGTATTATAAGGTTAAATTTGAAATTAAGATATCTTTTCTGTTAAACATAATTCAGACCACCGTTTGCTACTGTTTTGCTTATAATGCAATGTCTATTAAAAAGTGCAGTGCAACTTTTATAAGTGTTTTTATTATGCTGAGGACCTCTTTTTACAGTCCTATTCACACTGCAAATACGGAATTCCACAGAAAAATAAGATATTTCAGAGAATCTTCCTTTTTTATAGCCTTTGGCCTGGTTCTGTAATTCAGCTTGTTATCCAGTCCCATACATTTTTTTATATATACCATGAAGGGATATAAATATGATGCTAATTTTTGCTTTTGTGAAGGAATAGGGTCAGTATACAGGCTGCATGATATCAGCTCTGTTTGAGTGTAGAATAAGGGTGAAGGTCAGGGAACATGGTTTCCTTGTTGGTGAGCTAATGAACTTGTCCCTGGTTGCAAGGGAGGGGCATTTACAGCAGACAGTGGATTAATCAACCTGAAAAGGTCAGCCTCAAGGGGAATATTTGTGCTATGTACAGAAGACTTTATTTTGGATCATCAAGGGTGTTGGCGTGCAAGATTTAAATGCTTTAGAAGTATTTACTGAATGGGTCACAAAATGCTTTATGTAGATTCTAGATTAAATTGAAATAGTGATGGAGTCTTTGTTGATTCAGCTCGAGTGTTTACTTGATGGTCTTTAAAACGGTTGTTTTTGCTGATGTGTTTCAAGTCATTGCTTTGTTGCTGTTGTCTTTTGCTGTTGTCTTTTTCATGTGCACATCATGTTTGTGTGTGTGTGTGTGTGTGTGTGTGTGTGTCCACTATTCTATTTTCATATTGTGCATATTGTAACTGCCAGGGAATATTCCCATCACTACCACAGCTACTTTGAATAGTCACTCTGTTCTTCAGGTCCTGTAATCAGCAGCTGCAAGCTCTGGAGAGATGAACTGCACTGCACATTTGCACTGCCGTCTGCTCTTGGTTCGGATGATGTCAGCATGAGAACTGCTATTGTATGTTTTGTCCTATAAATGTGCTACCCTGGGCCTGTAGTCCAAATCTAAATCTAAATCTTTCCTTGTCTACTGTGGGCTCCATGAGTCTAATCGATGAGAGCCACAGAGCCATGGGAAAAGCAAGTCTGCTTACCCTGCATTTTCTCCTAACTCCTCTGCAAGATTGATTTATACTGGCCTGTTTTTCACCCACATACTCCGAATAGGAACTTGGATTGATCCTAAACAGAAAACATGGAACCTGCAGGGGGGGCTCTTGCTTTCATACAAAACCAGGACCACTTCTCCCCAAATTTGGATCTGACCTGTTCAGGCCCTACATCCCATGACCAGTAAAACTAGTCTCTAGATAGAGCATGGAGTGAAAAAATAAAGGTGAATAATGCTGATTGTGGTAATTCATGTACACCTCATTTAAAACATCCTTTCTTGGCCTTTGGCGTGAAAGAAGATAATTAAAAGCCTAATAGTCCTGAGGGCTCCATAAATGTTTAGCTGCTTCACAAAGACACAATCGATACCAGGAGCCCATCAGTTTGATTCAGAGGATGCGTTAAAATTTTGGCTGTGGGACAGTTTAATCATCAGGGTTAGTGATAAAGAGTAAATTAGTGAAAAAAAAAAAAGAGTGGTGAGCTCTGACATTTGTAGACGCTTTGTAGCATTTGTGCCTCCACCAGCAGACATAAAGGCATTTCTCATCTGAAGTCTATTGACCACTTTGTTCTATAGAACAGTATGGAGTCATATTCATAAGAACAAGCTATCAGAAAGGCTTGCAGCACCAGAGCATTATGGGATCTGAGTAGTGTTTTGTAAAAAAACAAAAACAAATCACAGGAGTAAGCCATTTTAAAACAGCTCTAGAACATAGACTTGTCACGCTGCCTAGTTCTATTTTGAGCTATACAGCTCAAAAAATATTCTTGTTATTGTATTCTTGTACTCTCTCTCTCTCTCTCTCTCTCTCTCTCTCTCAAGTTGTTTCTATGTCTGTGTCTTTTAATACATTCTTGTTGTTGCAATATGCCACCATTCAGTTACCATTATAGTTCAACTCACTTCAGTTTTATTCAGATTGTGTTTTATACATTTCAACCTGACTGTTTGGGTCAGTTGATGCTGATTCTTCAGTGTAATTAGTCTTTGGTGGTGTTATGTTGAGGCAGTCATGTCAGTTCAGGACAGCACACCCTCAGAGTAATGAAAAAGGCCCTGGTTCATTTAAGTAAAGTGGTGCTCTGAAAGGCCTTCATCTCAGTGAGTGTTTTATTGGACAGAGCTAGTTCTCTGCGGCAGAAGAAGCTTCTACCATTTAATTACACTAAAAAAGACACATTTTCAAGTCATATGGTTTGAGGTTCAGGACAGTTTCTTCCTGAAAGGTATAAGCAGTTCTACGCTGATTTCAGTGATTCACTTTTGCAAATTTGATGAAACAGCTAAAAAGGTTTTCAGATCTACAAGAGAGAATCTTGCCTGTTGGTATGTTTTGTTGTTTTGTACCCCAGTGGATTTTTTTTTTTTTTACTGAAAATGTGCATTTTTACACCTTATTCAACTGAATGTTCTGTATGTTTGTCTGAGTATCTGCTTTAGTATGAGTTCATTTACAAGTCATGCTTTTTTCCCCAAGGGTCTTGGGGAGGCTTCAGCAAGAGAGACCAGCATGGAGGGAGATTGCCTCAGCTGCATCAAGTATCTCATGTTTGTCTTTAACTTCCTCATCTTTGTGAGTATTTATCCATCTGCTTTCTGTCCTGTTTATTAGGGTCCACTGTTTCCCTTTACTGAGCAACAACAGCATTTAATCGCTTTCCCCTGTAAACTTACGATCTGTCACTTAGTAACAAGACGCTAAAATTGTGAATATGTAGTGGGATGCTACTAGCTTATAATTTATAATAGTGTGTGTTTACAGAAACATAAAACTGGAGTGTGACACTCCAGTTACAGCAGATGAATACAGTTTGTGCAATTTGAGTTTTTTAATTCTCCATTTCTGAAGCTTGCTTTCTCCTGTGTATTGTAGAACAGTGGTCATCATTATGTGGTAGAAAGAGAATTGTTTTGAATCCTATTGCTGCTATATAGTGATGGTTTTACTGGATAGCTTTTGGGAAATGCAGTCCAGAATGGTTTGCTGGAGGTGCAAGAGATTTTAGTAACATTTAAATTCAATCATGATCAGTCAATTTTAGCTGACCATTAATTGTCATATAAGTAATTGTGATTAACAATTTAATTGTTGTTTTTGGTCATGGTATGCTGATGCTTAATAGCTTCCAACTGAGGATAAATGCAGCTCAAGCTCAGATAAACAAACATTACTCTGTGCTGCTATCTAAAGGCTTTACAGCACCAGTCAGAAGTAAGAAATTTTCTTGGTTTATTAAGACCCGTTACATGTCTCAATTGATATGTTTTCTTCTTTCTTTTATTCACGTGCATTTACTGCAAACAAACTGTTCACATTTTGTTTGTTGCATTGATACAAATGGAATTGTGCAAGTTAACAATTATGGAAAATATTGCAAGTATGTGATTATGTAATAATTGTGACAGGCCTAGGTGAAGTTTTTTTTTTTTTTATACGCTTACTGTGTAATTAAACTAGGAGCAAATTTGAGGACGCCATCTGGAGGATCTCCTTGGATACATTTTTTTAACAGCAGAGATATTAAGAGCCAATCAAGCTAACATGGATAACAATCTCGCTAACATGGACACTTTGGTTTTCATACAATTACAAACTGGTATTTCTTCCAGAAAACCACAGCTTACCCTGAATTACTAGCTCAAAGCTTTGCTGTTGTTTGTTAGACAGCCACATGCTGATATATTCAAGCTGTTTATCAAACCTCCATTGATGGCTTAAATAGCTGCCTGCAAAAGAAGCCTCAGCTTGACAGGCTGACAGATTGCTAATGCCATCCATGAAAAGAATTCCAAATCTGGCTCATGGGAGTGGGAGAGATGGGGTAAGGTGTGCGTGTGTGTGCATAAAGCTCTTATCTCAAAAGACACACACATGCATACATTAATCCCTCCAGCTGTTTTATCATCATTCTGGCCTCTACCCAAGCCTTTTTTTGTTTTTTTTTTGGTTGTTTCGAGTTGGGGGGCTGGTGTGTGTGGTTGGAGGGAGGTGCAAGGATGTAGGGTTCATTCATGATAGCTGGAAGATTGCAAGAAGCAGAAAAAGCAGAAGCAGCATAGCTTTCCAACCCCCACTTCTTTGACAGAGGTGATAAAAGCTCCTCTGCTCTTGCACTGCCCGTCACTGTGTGTGTGAGAATTTTTTATTGTCTTTTGTAGATATGTGTTGATATTGATTAATAGAGTATGCCATGATTTTCAAAACACATAATATTGGTAATGGGGACACAACTATGACTGCATTTTACTTTAAGTTGCACTTTCACCAGAGATTTTTAGATGCGCAGGGTAGCTCTAGGTCTACTACGCTGTCACAACATGCTTGCTGTTTGTACAGCGAGTACAAGTTAGAATTGTTTACACAGGTGGTGATAGGAACTACATGTCCAAAGCCTATAATAAAAATAAAATAAATTTTGTGGCACAGAAAGTTTCTGAATGTTTTGTATTTCACTGAACCTGACAATTTTGCAAATACAAGTCTTTTAAAAACCTCTGTTGTTTTCTAACAAATCATCAGAGTTTAAGAAGTGATTTTTTTCATACTACTCCCTGGATTTATTGCATCTTCTTGGTTTTAAAGCAACCAGTAAAATCTCCAGTTCAATTATTTTTTAAAAGGTCTTGCATTATGGCATTATATACAGTATGGCTGCAAAATATGAATCAGTAAATCCATCCTGGCTTATTCTGACTGAGGGGCTAGAAATCCATTGGTGATGGTCTGATTGTGACCAAATTTCACATGCATATACATAATAATCAGTTGAGAAAGCATTTGAAATTTGGCTTGAAGTGGCCCCAGTTGGCCTTTTACACTGCCGAATCTAGTGCCAGTAATCCAAAAGTAATTTTTTGTTTCTAAAAATAAAATAAGGAAACTATAACTGTGTCAAAACTGCAGATCTTATTAAGACCTAAAACTTTGCAAATATATGTTCCAAAATTTCAAAGGCAATCCTCTAATTTTACTTAAAACCATTTTCACAGATTTAGGTATTGCTGTATTTTTTCTAGTCACTAGAGGGAGTAAGCAGTAACTGCAAATTGCAAATAAAATTGCCAAACAATCATAAGCTTTACTGTATTTATCTTGAGGCAAAGAAACATTTTGGCTTGTATTCAACTGAGACTGACAATTTTGCAAATATAAGTCTGTTAAAGAAACTATTATTTTCTGGGAATTTATCAAAATTTGAGAAGTGTTATTTTTTTTCATACTCCACCCTGGATTTTTATTACATCCAGATTTGGTCTTAAATCAAGGTTAAATCGTAATGTCGTAATTATTTATTTTTTTTCCTTTTAAGCACAATATGGCTGCATGATTTGAAACAATCAGTCTGGCCTAGCTTATACAAGGGACCATACATCCATCAGTGGTGCTCTGATTGTGACCAAATTTCATACATAGATACACAAGAATCAGCTGAGAAAGCATTTGAAATTTTAATCAGCCTTAGTTGGCCCCTGCAGTGCTTAATCCAATGCCAACAATCTAAAACATTTTCTCTCTAAGAATAAAAAACATAGTTCATATCTCAGTAAGAAACTTAAAATGTTGCAATTTTTAAATGTTCCTAAATAGCACAAAGTTCACAAAATTATCAGTAATGTTGTAATATTTTACCAATCGATGGAGTCTGAAAAAATCATGACTTTTGAGTACAGTTTGGCTGCAAGATTGGAACAAATAAGTGTGACTGAAAAGGCTCTAAATTGATCAGTGATTGCCTGACTGTAACTAAATTTGAAACATATATACAGAATGACAAATGGAGGGAGTATGCTTAATTAATACTTAATTCTATTATCTCATTATCTACTTAAGTCTATTATTCAGTTATTAATTTTATTATATAACATTTTATGATGTTTCAAAAATAGCAATGCTACATTGACACCATGAAAGAGTTAGTCTTTGAAGACTAAGGTCCAGGGTTTGATTCCCCGTCTGGGATAATGGATGGATCTGTATAAATCTTTGTGGACATATCCTTTAGTGATTACTTATATGAACTAGAGGCCTTTCTGAAAAATCCAGGTATCAGCTGTATGTCTTCTACAGCCAGAGGCTGGCACATAAAGCCACATTTGCATTGTTAGCCTCTTAATGCTTGAACCCCGCAGATTGCCGCTTGTGGCTATGTTTTTGTTTTGTTGTTACTATAATATGATACTGTGATACTGTAATATCGGAAACTGTGGTAATTTCTGTACATTTTTTTATATCAGCGGATATCTATTTTTTTCAAGAACTGTACCACTTATTTTCTAATTCTCTCTTCTTTCTGGGTGTTGTCTGCTGGTTTTAGTGCTTCCTATAACCTGGAAGTAGATCTTAACATCTATAGCAAGCAGAAACCAACATTATTGTTAGTGAGATAACATGCATAGGGTATTGTTTTCATCTCTCCTGTAGACACTGCAGTACACATTCCACAGTAAACAATCATTCAGAACAAAATAAGCTGAGGAAGCTCTGAATCAAACACCTTTTGACCTTATGTCAACAATTAACATTTTTTTCTCTGCCCCTCTCTTCTCAGCTGGGAGGGTCATTTCTCCTTGGAGTCGGGATATGGGTGCTGGTGGACCCCACAGACTTTAGAGAGATTGTGGCTACCAACCCCCTCCTCTTCACTGGAGTTCACATCATACTAGCTATGGGAGGCATGCTGTTCCTGCTGGGCTTTCTGGGCTGCTGTGGAGCCATAAGAGAGAACAAGTGTCTGCTACTCTTTGTAGGTGGCCATCTGTGTGTGTGTGTGTGTGTGTGTCTCTCTATGTGTTTGTGTGTGTGCATGAGTGAGAGAGAACATGGCTTGTTTTATTGTCTTGGGACAAATAGTGACAAAATGGTTTTGTTTGTTCTTCCAAAGACAAGCAGGCTACTGAGTGATATATGAGAGTTCCATTTGTGTTTGTTATAGTAAAGGAGGTTTACCTTGAAAGCATAAGTATTCAAGACATTCAAGACCAGTATTGATTTAAACTGTGACATTTTTTGTCTTTTTTGTCTCTGCAGTTCTTTATGTTCATCCTCATTATATTTTTAGCAGAGCTGGCTGCTGCCATACTGGCCTTTATTTTTCGGGAGCATGTGAGTGTCACTCAGATTTTTCTATGAACTGCACACTGACTTGTGGCATTGTGTTGAAGCTGTCACTCAGCCATTTACATCTTTCTGATTGTGCACGCAGCTAACCAAAGAGTACTTTACAAAGGAACTGAGGAAACACTATCAAGGCTTCAACACTACTGATGTTTTCACCACTACATGGAATGCCATAATGAACACAGTATGTTTGCTCTTTTCAGATGTCAATTAACACTGACAGAATGCTCAAAGAACCATGTTATGTCTATTAGGGGACCAAGTAGGACTAGCCATTGTGTTTTAGTACACTTTTTAACATTGCCTGCATCGATTTGACCTCACCATTTCACTTCTGAGGAATCCCCTATGTCATCCTAAGTGCTGCACCATTGGTGTATTAGTATATGTGAAGTTAGATGACCCCTTGGAGGGGCAAAGGATTGAGTCAATGTAAATGTAGACTTGAGCAGTGGAACTTGCCATAAATCTTTGTTTCCTTTTCAGACACCAAAAAAATGGCAGAGCTGTTTATAAGCAAGTGTAATAAAATACTTCAATACGTATTATTTCAAAACTATAACATTTGATTCGCAACACCTGATGTACATGACTGCAGCTAATTAACAAGCTAAGCGTTATACAGCTAGCAGCAAAAAAAAGAGGGGAAATCACTAGGTTCTCATTGTTAACTTAAAACTTAAGCCAGACAGAACAATAATTCACAAAGGTTATGTACAGTCATTTGTAAAAGTTTTGGCACCCCAGGTCAGATTATGTGTTTTGTTTATTTTCTAAGTGGAAAAATAAGTACACATTCTGTACATAGAACACACTTCTGCACATTTTATTGTACAGTTAGTGTTTATTTGCTGAATTTAACATATTGGGGGAAAAATAAAACATAAAATGTGGCCTATAGCACATTCTATGTTTTACATTTTATTTATGTCCAATATGTAAACTCCACAAATAAACAGAAATTGTTCACTGCGAATTGCAGAAAATTATATATTTAATTTTGTTCCCTGCAGAGGACATATTTTCGCAAAATCCATAAAATGTCTTTTGATCGAGGGTGTTCAAAATTTTGCATTGTGTGTTCCACTGTATGTTATGTTTGGACTTTTCAAAAAAACAATTTACAAAGTTTGTTTAGCTAGTTTGTTGAGCTCACTGAGGCTAGCTTATCGAAGTGTGTTCCTACTAAAAAAAATCTGCTCCTCATTGTCCCCTCCTCTCCATGTCCTGCGAAGTTTAACATAGGTGCTATGCACTTCTTAGTTGGTGAGGGCATGTTAATAGTAGTGGGTCTTATTTGTAGTGGTTTCCTGTACAACATATTAGACACTTTTATACTTCACTCCTGAGTCTCATAGAGTTAAACCATAATTAGAAATGATATAACATCAGGGATTTTTTTTTTTAAAGTAATTATTCCATATTTGTATTAATGTAATGCATGTCTGTATATGTTTTCCGTTCTTTGTCTAGTTTGATTGCTGTGGTGTGAACAGTCCTGAGGACTTTGAGGAGAGCCTCTTCCGTGTCCTCAACCCTAGTTATGTAGTGCCCGAGGCCTGCTGCCGTAGGAACAGTCACCTAGGGGATGTGAGCTTCAGCAACAAGGACGAGTGCCTCGCAGGCAACATGCTATACCGCAACAACAAGGTCAGATCATCTCCATTCCCTCAGTACTCAAAGAACAAACCGTTTACTTAAGTGTTCCATTTACATGTATGTTTTGGAACAGTTCCACTGACAGAAGAAAGGGAGTTATAGACAGTGGCTGTTTCCCAATTTGGGTTTTAGGTCACTAAATTATATTTAATTTAAAATAGTACAAAGACAACATAGCAAATTTTGAAACTGAAAAATGTTATAGTTTTTTGAAGTATATATGCCTATTTTAAATTTGATGCCAGCAACACGTTTAAAAAGAGCTGGCACAGGGGCAAGTCCATCTTAAATGAGCTTGGGCCCAAAGAAGGCAGTGGCATTTCTGGATCCTGTTTATATATGTTTTTTTTTTCTTCTGCATGGTAGTTTTACCTTACATTTGAGGATGCAGTGACGAACTGTAAAGACTGTAAAGAATCGTGTCTGTTTTTAATGCGGTGCCACCTGAGGGCCTGAAGATCACGGCCAGCCAGTTTTGGTTTTTGATCTTTTCCCTTGCATGCAGCAATTTCTCCAGACTCTCTGAATCTTTTAGTAATATTGTGCTGTAGAGGTCTTTGCTGTTTTACATTAAGAAACATTCCTGAATCCTCATCTTTACCTCTAAAAGAGTCAGCCTCTCTGGGATGCTTTCTTTATGCCCAGTCATGTTACCTGTTGCCAGTTAACTTAATTAATTGTGAAATGCTCCACAGAGTGTTTTTTTTTTTTAAGCATTACACAATTTTACCAGTCTTTTGTCACCCCTGTCCCAACTTTTTTGAAAGTGTTGCTAGCATCAAATTTAAAATGGGCATATATTTTCAAAAAACACTAAGATTTCTCAGTTTCAACATTTGATGTGTTGCCTTTGTACTATTTTCCATTAAATATAGGGTTCAAATGATTTGCATATCATTGTATTCTGTTTTTATTTACATTTTACACAGCACCACAACATTTTTGTAAATGGGGTTGTCGTAAAATTAACAAGCGTTACAATCTTATTTCCTAAAGTGACATTTGCAAACCTCAGCCAGTGACCACCACAGTTACCACACCCTCACTTTAGCTATCACAGTGGTTACAGTTGACACAGCTTTGTTAAAAGGGAAAAAGAATGCACACTGGCCACAGGCTCTGCATTTTTGAGTGGCCGGGGGCACTGGGCAAAAAGCAGTGTCTACCACTGCCCCTTCGAAATAGCCCAATGCTAATGAGGTAGTATGGACCTAATTTGGTCACAGTACCACTTAGGTAACAAAAACTTAATGAAAACAGCACAGTAATACCTGGAACTTTTCTTTACATCAAGAAAGCCCTGAAAAACCTTTTCAGGACAATTGCAAATGTTACATATTTTTTTTTAAAATGTGACTGAGGATTTGTGAATGAGCTTTATGTTCTAATAGTGATCTTCCTCAAACAACCTTAAGCTAAAGCAGACGAAAGGCATTATAACTCACTTCTGACTTTCCTAATGGTCATTAATGGTTTTTCATGTTTTCAATGTCAAGGGAATGTGTGTAAATGTGTGTGTGTGTGTGTGTGTGTGTGTGTGTGTGTGTGTGTAAGCATTTGGGAAATGGTAAGAAGTAAGAGCCACACAGCAAATGATCGTAGCGAGAGTTCTTCACGTGGTTGTTCACTGCCACTCATGCATACACTAATTAAAAAGGGTGAAAAAAAAAACATTAAAAACTGTATGAAATACTAGCGTGTCCATTCTTGGGTATTTTTTTTCCTCATGTTTCTGTTTCAATTGACAGGGGTGTTATTCATCAGTTGTGGACTACTTTGAGATGTACATATATGTGGCTGGTGCCCTGGCTATTGTTGTGCTTACAGTTGAGGTATAACCTTTTCACATTTTCTCCGTTAACGACAATGATGGATTAAATGTTTTGTCCAAAGATATAGAAAAAGATGAGATGCCTTAAAGAACTGAGACTGTTCTGATGTTATATGATGATTAATAACTGCTGCCCTCTTGTGGTGATATCCTGCAAGCGCTACATCTTCATTTTGCCAGGACAGCTTAAATTATAAATTGTATGGGTCAAGCATTATTTAAGTGTTCTATGTTTCCACCATTAACGATGACTCAATGCTGCAATATATAGTGATTTATATACTTCTAATAGGTTTGTTTCTGTTCCTTTCACAGCTTTTTGCTATGGTCTTTGCTATGTGTCTGTTCAAAGGAATTCAATAAGTGCACAAAGGATTTTCTCAAAATGGAACTAAACAAGAATGATTAGAAAATTAATCTTTCAGAGACTTGTACTTCACAGCTGGACCTCTGAGGTGCTAGGTGACACACCAAAAAGGAAAAAAATAAAAAGATAGCTCAGTGGACTCGCATGTAGAGGCTCATACATACTTTGAACCAGGTGTTAAAAAGGACCAGTTAAAGCCTGAATAGAAGAGGACGACGACACTGCACTGATTTGGCTGAAGAGTATTTATAAAAAGTGATGTGGGCTTGTTTTTATAGACATTTGTGTTTAGTTAAAAATGTTTTAGAATTTCTTACTCTGTCCATCAAAAACACCCCCTCCCACACAACAGAACAGCTTATCATGCTGGCACTAGTGACACTAGTTCTGTACATTATTGTAAGTATCCATTTTTAACTCTTACTGTTGTGATCCTGCCTGTCTGTGTTTGCCTTCTTCCCTCTCTACATAGCTTTTTTTTAACATTTTTTTTTTATTGTGATGTTTATTGTAATGATGCTTCTATGTAATTTAAGCTAATTTTTTTTATACATGCTTATGTTTGAAAGCTAAGAATGCCATTAAATGAATTTTTGTGTATTTCAGAATCACATTATTAAAAGTTTCACAAAGTCTGATGTGTACAAAGGCCTAATACAAAGTAAAAGGAAAACCTCAGTCATCATGCTGACTTTAAGGCTACTTTAAAAGCACATTGTAAAAAATACAGTTTATTAGGTACTCATACCTTAGCAGACTTTTCTTGCAGACAGTATGATCATGTCTTGCAATGATCTTCTTAGTCACATGAGAACAGCTGCTCTTCTGTTTTTGCTTACACATCACACAAACAAGCGTTTGATTTTCAGCCTCAGTTTTCAACCCTATTTATGTATGTCTGTCCCACAGATCTAAATGCCTGAAACTCACCAGTTGAGCAGTCTTCGTTACATAATAATGAACCCTCTTTCAGATATATTTTCCTTCTGCCATCTTAATCCAAAATTCAAAGGTTGATTAAATGTTCAGCATTTTTATACATGCTACAGAGCATGGGTTTGCTTAATTGTATCATGCAGTACTTTCAGAATGGGATGGCCAGGTAACACCCAGAGATTTAATTAGGGTGGCAAACTGATAGGAAAAAAATGTAAAAAAAATAGCACTACTGTATTAAAATGACGTATAAACTGGTGTGTTCGTTTTTCCTCTGTACATAACTAAATCTGTCCATCATTTCCACAAGAACAAAATAATACATTGATTCAACTACTGTTGAAAGTAAACGGAAAGACAATGTCATTCATGAGGAAATTATGTATTTAAATGAAGTAAATTAAATATCACTTTTTTCAGTGCACAATGTTAACTTTAAGAAAAATATTTCATATAGATATGCCATAGAAGTTAAATTAATGTAGGCTGCCATCGCTACAGGTTATACATGGGTCTAATTATTAGACAGCACTGTATAAGGTAACCTACAACACATGAATGTATTCAATTGTGAAAAGAAATGTCAGCAGAATAAACTCTTATAGCTGACTCATTATTGATAGTTAACGCATCTTACCATCGCAAAGCTTACTTCATAGTGCAAGATATGCTATTTATTGTCATCAGACTCATAACTGATTGGTAACTACCCCAAACACAGATTTTCACCTAAACCCATCTTTGATGGTTGATGGCATCATTGATTAATGATGGCTGACTGAGGATGGTTGACTGTGTCACTTTCCCTAACTGGAGTGGCCAGAAGGAAGGTCATGCTTCAGTGCCACCCTGGCCACCCTTTGGCTGCCACCTCTGCATTTCTTCAAGTTTTTTTTAATTTGGCACCTGCCTATACATGTACTTTATAGGTATAGAATTATTGACTGTTGTCTATCAATTGCTATGTACAAGTTGTAAGCCATCCTCTGTCAAAGATGGTCCTCTGGTGGTCCTTTTCCTTTGATGAAGGTAGTAGTGTGAGGCTGACGAATTGCACAGCAACAGATGCAAACAAGAAATAACTACACCTACAAAGTACACCTATACAAAAAGGTGCACCTGATAAAATGGCCAATTAGTGTAGATACGAGGTGTATCAAAAAAAAACTTTATATAACACTTTATCTCTTAGGTGTAATACAGAAATGCTTCAATGTACTATTATGTACATAAACAACTTTATTGGACTGATATGTGGCTAAATATGATGGAACAACTTGAGTCAAATTCATCTGCGAGAAGTTGGTCAACCACAGTGCAGAATGTAAAACACAAAAGGATGGTCAGAAAAAGGTTTTAGGTCAAAGGTGCACGACAGGAGTTCACTTTCACCAGCACACTTTGGTTGTATCCCTACTCAAACAAACCCACTAAACCTGGCAAAAATGATTTAAATCTGTTGTATTTAAGCAGGTAAATCACCAAATTGTTCTGGATGCTGACTCTCCACCCCTGTGCACCCCTGTTTTAGATGGTATAGATAAACAATCAATTTTCAAATTCAGTTTTTCCAGACTTGCTGATTTGCTTGAGGATTTGTTGCCAATATTTGAGATTTGCAAAATTATGACTGACACAACAATAAGCACTGTCAGCCAAGTGTATCAAGTAAAGGGAAAATTTCTCAAACCAAACCTGCAGTAAGAATGGTGGTGGCAGGGAGTTAGATTGAATTATTAGGGTAAACATGATAGACTGGTGTTACTGAGGGTGCAGCTTGTTTAATTTGAGAGGCAGCATAAGTCTGCTTGTTAATAGGTTTGACATCAAGCTGTAAGTGGGGTTGTCCACAGAGAGTAATCCAAACCTTTTTCAGCTTCAAGAATAAAAGAACACCCTTCTTCAGATGATCAGGATAGTGTGTGTCTGGCTGGCTTTAAGGTAAGCTAAACTTAGCTGAATTACTGTATTTGCTAAAAATCATTTTAATAAGATGTCAAATAAATAATAATAAAGCAACTAGCTAACTATTTAGCTTCTTAACTGCTGACAGCTTGATAAATCAGATTTGACAGGACTGTATACAGTGCTGGTGATTTGTGATTTAAAACGTGTGTGTATATATATATATATATATATATATATATATATATATATATATATATATATATATATACACATACATACATACATACATTATATATATATATATATATATATATATAATATATATATATATATAATATATATTAATGCACTCATACACATGCTATTATTGGCATTTTATTTATAGTGCTGTGAATTTATAGTGCTGATTTCTTCTATTCTTGCATATTTGTCACATTCGTCTCAGATCTTCAAACCAAATTGATTATATAAAACAACCTGAGCAAACACGAAACGTTTTTAAATGATAATTTCCTTTATTGAAGGAAAAAATTAACCAACCCCAGCCTTGTGTGAAAAAGTAATTGGCCCTTACTCAATCAACCAATTAACTAAATGTAACTAAATGATTGTGAGAGAGTATCACACCAACAGTCAAACAGTGGTAGTGGTGTGATAGTGTGGGGATGCTTTCTTGCTTCAGATCCTAGGCAAGCTGCCATAATTGATGAAACTATGCTGCCCTCTATTAGAAAATATTGCAGGACAATGTCCAGTCATCAGTCCGTGACCTGAAGCTCACATGCAATTGGGTTATGCAGCAAGACAATGATCCAAAACACAAGAGTAAGTCTGAATGGCTCCAAAGAAACAAAATTAAGGTTTTGGAGTGGCCTAGTCCAAGTCCTGACTTGAACCGCATTGAGATGCTGTGGCAGGACTTTAGACAGGTGAATTACTGCAATCCTGCAAGAGTAGGCAAAAATTCCTCCTTAGTGATGTGAAAGACGTCTAGGCATAAGAAGCATTTAGCTGCAGTTGTTACTGCTAAATGTGGCACAACCTGTTAAGTTCATTTTTCACCTTAATGAAATAAGTGGGGTCCAAAAGTCTGAGAAAACAGATATTTTGCATTTTTTAAAATTTGATACAAAGTTATCCATTACAAATTACATTAAAATAATTTGAGTAAACAGTACAATCTTTGGAGTTTAAACGAATTTCAGAATTTCATACTACTTGCTTTCTCCCCCTTTTGTTTTTATGACAACGTGCATTCAAGCTGGCTTGGACACCACAAGTTTGTGCAAAGGCCTTTGATAAGAAGTCATCTGTTTCACATGTGCTTCAATGGAAGTGGTAAAGCCAAAAAAAAAAAAGGTACAAAGGCTTTAAGGCCTGGTCAGTGTCACAAATATGTTCAAATCTGAATAGTGACCTAAAAGTAGAGCAGAATATTGAATCTTCTTCATTTTACTTGTCAATTTCTTTATTTATTTATTTTTTTCAAAATGTCAGTTTATTTCCAGGCTTAAACCCTGAAAAACTTCTGGACCCCACCCTAAGTACTGCAAACTTTTTTCCTTCAATAAATGAAAAGGAAAAATTCGTTCCTTGTGTTCTCTATGTCTTATATTAAATTGTGTATGATCTGAAACTATTTAGTGTAAAAAATATGCAGAAAATCTGAAATACATTTTTCACAATACTAAATTTTAAGAGAACAGCAGCAGGATTTTTTTGTAGAGCATCAACATTAGACCTATGGATAGAAGTCCAACAAGCTATATGCCAATATTTATTGCCATCATAATTAAGAATATCATAGTGACACATCACTTTCAATTCTGTGCTTGTCAAGATGAATTTGTTGTCAGATTCTTTGCTAGTCATGGAAAAAAATCCTTACCAGTCCTGTTAAGCAGTAAACATCCTTGCAGTAGAACTGTCTACAAATCACAAAGGGGTTCTCTCTGCAATCAAATTTTAAAAGAACAATCAAAAGCTATCAAAATAGATTTCAATATGACCTACTGATATTGGTAACTGATGCCTTGGCCAACCAAATACCACTCCAGCAGCAGACAACTTAAGGATGGGATAGAAAATGTTGGCTCGAGAACTCGTAAAAAAAGTAAAGGAAGTGATCTTTTGTTTATACTAAATAATGTATCCATATATCCGTGGCAAATATGTGATTCAAACAGCACTTTCTATTGTGCGGATATAAAGTGTATGTGACTATCTACCAAAGTGGCATGGAAACAACTATTATTGCCTTCATACATCAAAAAAAAAAAGTTAGCATTTGCTTTCCCAAGATAAAAAGATACAATTAGAAAAGTTTGTAAGCAATCTTGGCTAAATGCTGGTGGACCGAAAAAAATGATCGGTTTTAGAGAGCAGCGGTGTTCTTCAACTACTGTCTCTTTAGGCAACAATGCTGCAGAGATGCATTTAATTGTTAGCTGACTGTAAAGGGGTCACTGTAGATACTGGCATGGCATCAACAGCCTTTTGATACTTTAAAAGAAACTAAACCAAGTTGCCGTTGAGTTTGGTCCACTCAAAAATGTCCTGCTCGCAAACAATGTCCGAGTTGATGAGCAGGTAGCGGTCTCCAACACAGAAGTGCTTCTGGCAGGCCGCACATTTAAAGCACTCAAGGTGGTACACTTTGTCACGCACACGCATTGTCATTTCAAAGGCCCGGATCCTCTTCTCACAGGAAGCACAGAGCCCATCCTGACCAAACAGTCTGCAAAAGAAGGAAGAGATCTGACTAAATCAATAACACTCCTCACTGAGGTCCACATTTTTTTTCCTTTGTATCAAAACTATATGAAGTGTCTGGGACCAAGCCTCTGTGAAACTAGCTTACACCTCCTTATTTGCAAGTTTTGTTGTGCAGAAGGAGACTTAAAAATCAGGTTTTATTTTACATATAAAAACATTTCACTCAGGCAATGAAAACAACAATAACAGTGACTAAAGTAGTTAAAATTGTCCACTTTAATGTGAAAGTTTCTGTAATGGCAAAGTGCACATGAGGCAACATGACCTAAGTTTTCTCAAATTTATGTTTGCAAGAAAATCTGACCTAATACCTTTTACATAAAAATAAAAATAATTTTCTGACTGCAATGTGTAGACAACAATCATTTCAACTGGCCTCTTACTAGAGAAATGAATATCTTTTAAATGTACCTGAGGTAGTCCCTCCGACACAGCTTCCTACCGAGTTTGTAGTACAGCCTCCGGCCAACCTCCCCCAGCCGGCAGCCACAGAGGTCACAGCTCAGACAGTCCTCATGCCAGTACTGCTCTATAGCCTTGAGGAAAAAGCGGTCTCCAATGCTTTGCTGACAACCACCACACGTCAGCAGCGATGGAGGCATCTGGAGGACCTCATCCACAGGTTCCCTGTGGATTCATTGAAAAAATGACATTTTTTTTCTTCAAAATGAAAAGAAAAATAAAATAAAAGAGCATGGTCCTGGTTGGTACATGGACTGTTATCCACTGAAGCTGTGAGAGGGGGTTCAGTCCCTGATTGGCATCTGACAGCAGACCTCATACAAGCCTATGTTTCTTGTGTTTAATAAATATGCTGATAAATGGTCTTTACAGCGTTTAGATTTAGCATGAATAACACATCACAATTCAGTAATTAATCTGAGCATGTCTGTAACAAGACTTATTTTCCTTAACTCTCTGTGCCACAACAAAAGCCTGCCTAAGTCTTTAGTATTTATTCAAGCTTCAAGCTACAAGTATTACTGTTATAGTTGCATACCCTTTGGCTAAAGCAGCTCATTTCACTTACAATCATACATGCAACAGCACAACCAGCGAGCCAAAAAATGATAGACTATCTGTACAAAGCCTTCAAATCATCATTCCTCTGTCACTTTTCCCTCTGATAGGCGATGGTGGTGGTATAATGCGCTACAAGTTAGCCTAGCTGAGTAGCTGCTGTCCAGAGTCACTGCTTTACTCACAAGAGCTGTTGGTACATGCCTGTTTTGAGTGGCACATGCTGTTTCTCTAAGGCAGGTGATACCAACTGAGCAGTGTGAGCAAGTGCCATCAATTACCAGTTATCGATGGCAGGTGCCATTTACAAAGTGGCACATGCTAGTACATGGCATTACCAGATGGCTGAGTTGCCACTTCCTGCTGCCAGAAGCCAATGGGGGACTGAACCCTTGCTGAGCTGTGTGTGGTAAAAAACAATAACTTTCACTTCTCCAATAATCCATACCGCATTTGCATGTATCACCCTAGCTGCAAATTCTCATGAGAATTGCAGGCCTTGTATAACATTCAGAAAATGCTGCAGTATGAATTGGCCATTGCCTTTTCAATCAGTGTATGGAAAAAAACAGTAATGTTTAATCACTACAAAAAGAATAAAGTTTGCATGTCATGGTTGGCCGTTCAGCGTTATGAAGGCTTTTATGTCAGTGTCTTCTTGTTTCTCCCCAAAGAGTGCCTCTGTGTCATCACTGCAACAGACTTTGTATCTTGGCACACCCATATACAGAATGCTACTGCTCCAAACCACTGTCTTTACATTAATACAGCAAACTAACGACAGATATTTAAGCAGTTTAGTTTCATTACCAGTTCTAATTAGCCTTAGAGTACACTGTTAGGCTTTGCAAGCAGTTGAAAACCTGAAAGGTGGTACAGCTTCGTTCCTTCATAAACACCTAAGTTTATGTTCGTTAACCCTCAATATAAAGTATAATAAAGTTATATTTTTTAGACAGGTCAACACAGGACCCATAAATGTGCGTTACATTAATACTTCAAAAGTATATGACAAACATTGCTCATAACGTCAGAAATGCCAAAATTACGTGCACTCAGTAAGACGCGTTCCACCATGCTGGGGGTGGTTCACGCTCACACGACCTGTCACTCCAAATCCATTGACCAATAGAAAGTGCATTAGATGTCAATAAGTACCAAGGACAGACAGGAAAACACACAAACCCCCCAATTTCTA